TAATCTTGAGGTGCATGTTACGTCATAGCCGCCATCTTGGTTGACGATAACAAAGCTTTCCTCATTAGCTTCTCTTGTTAGATCAACCAACATGGAGGCTGTTTGATTGGTATTCATATCTCGAGAGATCTTGAATTTAAATATACAATATATTTAATATCCGATTGAAAGATCTTTTCTTTACCCATTAGTTAACAACTTATTTCTCTTTTTAACATGTTTCTTCCTAAGTTTCTACATTAACATTTAATTCCATAACTTTAATCACTGACTTATAAAACTCCTAAATTTTTTCGAAATTTTCACTTTCTACTAAGCATTTTTCCCACTAAAATTTCAAATCTGGCGTCAACTCTGCCTCTTACTTTGCCAATCTCGTCTCTGCTCTATTTCTAAAGAAGAGGCAAAATTACATTGTATGAAAAAACAGGGAAAGATGCATAAATATAGACGGTGATGAGTGAGAAAAATAGACATTATTTGTCGAGGTGCGTGAAATGCTTTCCCACTTCAGACCGTGTCATTCCCTAGAGTATCATTTCTTTGTTTAACAGTTGCGCATGAAATGACACATGATCATGGATACAATTCAAACAAAAATGTTATTCTCAAGGGAAATGATACGTGGTCTGATACGGAAAATTAATACCAACATTTTTAGCCGGTATGTGAAAGTCTTATAAGTAATGATATATATTTGATTCTCAAATGAATCGATAATTCAATGATAATGTTATCTATACTCATGTAGATGGCTATGTTGATTTAGTGATGATCGTAGTAACACTCCACCTACAACAACTGCTGATCTGAGAGAAAATGTTAGTCGATCAAAATGGAGAAAATTTGCAAAACTGAGGGGTCATTTTCCTCTTGAAACCACGGATTAAATAAAGTTGCTAATACATGCTTGACAATATCCCCAAACTTTTCGGCTCAACGAAAAACACAGGTCCGTCAATGAATGCGTAAGAACAGAATTTGTACTAAATATTTATTAATGAAGGTGAGTATGAAATTCGACTTTTCGAAAATTAACAGCAAAATATTTCTCGATCTCTTTAATCTGGGTACGCGCGATATATTTTGGTCTAGCTTGGGCACGCACTTAATACAATGTTTGATTTGTCATGGCTTACGTCGTAGTAGCAGTTCCGAAGTTGTAGAAACGCGTTGCATTATGTTTTTTTTTGGGACGGACGCTTCATCATTTGACACTTCATGCATCAAGAAATGAAAGATATTAAACACTTTTTTTTCACTTTTCACTATCAGCAATTGAAAAAAACGCCAAATATATCATTCGTATCAAAGTGCCCCCTGAAACATAACCGCGATGTAACATGTTATGCAACCGCTACGGAACGGCCAATAGACCGTTTTCTCAAGGTTGCGTTCGCATCCATAATTTAAAGAACTTGACGGGCAACTATATTTTATTATCATGCATTGCTATAATTTTTTCGACAATAACTCATGAAATTGATTGTTCTCTTTCTTAAATAAGTTAATTAGTTTTGTTGAACGTCAAGTTAAATGCGCACGCAACCATGAGAAAACGGTCTATAGAGCTTTCAAGTATGAAGTTAATCATACGGATCGACAAAAGACTTCCGGGTCCAAGTCAAAAACGAAAAGGGTTCTATAAAAAAAATTCTTACTTTTTTCTTCACGACAGGATTTGTTGTACGACGTTTTGTTTGTTTTAGTCTAGTTTTAAGTCTAGAGGGGGAATAATCGGTATTTTCCAGAATCTTGGTGCACTCACTATAGATCAACAGCCCTYTAAGATATGTTTAAGCAAGAGCGCGACCTCAAAATGGGTAGCGCGCGATGAGACTGATGTAGAGGAACGTTTGAAGACTAATCAAATCAGCTTCTAGGATCCGATTCCAAAGTTACTGCTACTTTCATAAACATGCGAACTCGATAGGTGCGAGCTGCATGCTGAGATTTGGTTTATCGCTTGTGTCAATCAAACCTAATYAGTCGGTACCTTTCATATTTTTTGACTAGCGGCAGCGAAAAACCAAATTTCAGCRTGCAACTCGGAGACACAGAGTTCGCATATTTATGAAAATTGCAGTAAATCAATGAGAAYATTTCTACTTTATTTCAGGGTGCACACAGGTATTTGAAAATTATTTGAATTTGATTTTTTTGGTAACTTGTTCCTAAAAAGTTTTTGAAATGTCCTTGAAACTGCATTAATCATCCTTAAAAAATAAAGCAATTGTCATATACTGATTTTACAAATGATAAATTTGATATTCAGGACTATCTTGATTCCTTATATCAGAGGAAACAGAATTTTACTTGAAACAAAAACTACAAAAGGGAGTTTTTCCTGTCCTTGAAAATATCGTAAAACCCCTTTTAAATGTCCTTGAGAAGTCTTTGAAAAAAATAGAGGATACCTGTGTGCACCCTGTTTTATCGGATTTTTTTGAACAGTTGGACCTGGGCGGATACGTCACGAATTAAAAGCTCTCCAACCATGGACAAGATTACCCACGATTCTCTGGGAGAACATTTTTCGCCCCATGTAAGGTAATCCGAAATCCACGAAATTTTAGGCTTTGCAATCCGGAATCCAGGCCTTGGAATCCGGAATCCAGTTTATAATTGAATCCGGAATCCAACCTTTTGGAATCCGGAATCCATTACTTTGAAATTCAAAGTATACACTCAAGTGCTATCGCCTCGACCTAGACTGAACCGATGTAGACCCTCCCCCACTGTGTAATATCTCCACCAAGAATATCTGTCATAGGATGCTGATTTCATAGATAGGCGATTCTACTTATACTGGCAAGTATATCAAATATATTTTTCAGATATAGTAATACAAAAGTTTTGGAATCCGGAATCCAGACCCTTGGAATCCGCAATCCAGAGTCTCGGAATCCGGAATCCAGCGCTTGGAATCCGCAATCCAGAGTCTCGGAATCCGGAATCCAGACCCTTGGAATCCGGAATCCACCATAAGTTCGGATTCCCTTACATGGGGCGATATTTTCCAACGAATGTTTGTTTGAGTGTTTTCTTCAGAGTTCTTTTTTTGTCTTCTCTTAAAACTTACTGCACYAAAATCTTGTATGAATCTTTATTGTTTCTATGAATCTCTCAATAATTGTTGCCTTTGTTTCACTTGATTCTAATAAAACTGTTCCTCTGGTGTTGGGCTTTTTGTCTTCTTTCTAAACTACTTTTATTTGATTTTCAAATTTTCAAATCTTCAAATCTTAAAACGGCCGAAATTTTATTTTAAATTTATGCCATAAATTAATGGGGCTCTTTAATTTTTTTGTACTTTTATTTATTTATTTATTTTATTTATTGCATTTCAGGCCACGTGTCATTCTATTGAGAAGAAGATGACTATTTTGAGTTGTATTAACATTTATCGGTCTTTCCTCGTACCATGCTGTTAAACAAAGAAATTATGCTCTAGGGAATGACACGTGGTCTGAAATGAAAAAAAGTGCATTACGACCARTGTATTTGAATGGAAGATAGTTTACCTTCGATGCCGCTTTCGGTGTATCGGGATTTTCTGTTCCGGTAGGGGGGAGAGGAGGGGGGTACTCAGCTATATTCGCTATACAGGTACGTGCCGCCAAACAGGGTATGGTTTTCAGCGATTCTACTCTGGAACAGGGTAAATAAAATTGCGCTCGCTCTGGGACAGGGTACATGAAATCACGCTCTCTCCTCTCTCGAACAGGGTATCTAATTTTTCAATACCGGAACAGGGTAATAGGGTATGGTTTTCAGCGATCTTGCTCTGGAGCAGGGTATAAATTTCAGCGATTTTACTCTGAAATAGGGTCAGGGTTCAAAGGGCTCAGCGGCACATCCCTACCCTAAACGGGCAAGAGTACCCCCCGGGTTTCTGTTGCACATCTCGGATTCAGGTTATAATGGATATCTTGTAGGAAAGAAATGAAGGTTCACCAATATACTTCTACCTTTTTTAAGCTTCAWATTGTTCTCCGTTTGCCGTCATCAGCGGATTTAGGAAGACCACCCCTCCCCTACCCCCGTTAGACGATCCATGGGTTATTTTTAGAATCAGAGATTGCACTATTGATGGTGCAGTCYTGCTTGCATGATCCTCGTCTGTTACCCAATCATGAGATATTTCTTTATTGTGAGATTTTTACAGAAAAGAAAAACAAAAAGAAAAACAGAAATTCGTACTTTCGAAAGATCTCGTGCACACACACACACAAAAACGAGATCGAATGACGTGTGCCCTAATCACGTGACTTCCAAATGCAAACTCGTGATATTGATCTTTTGAGAAACGATTGATTCGTGCGTAACAAATATGCAATCTTATTTTATCTTCACCAGCCATTTCGCCGTGGTTTCAGAAGAACTACAACATCTCATAGACAACCGGATGAGTACAAGCACACTACCTCAGTATGTAAACTAAAATATCACGTAATAGTTACCCCCACTTTCACATTCCCCAAATTTTTTTTTTTTTTTTTGACGTGACCATTGAAAAACTGTCAGAAAAATTTAAAAACGTTCTTCGATCAGATGATAATTACATATGCTTTTACCAATAAGATTATTGTTATTATTGTTATTATCATTATTATTCAAGATAGAGTGCTTTTAGTCTCACTGTTAAATAGGTGACGTCAACTAAATTAGATAAGTTATTTACTATTTTAGATGACGTCACCTAAATTTGAAACTACGAGTAAACAGCTACTGAGATCAGGGGGAGAAACAATGATACAACCCCCGGATTAGCATGACCGTTATTTGGCGCGCTTTACTATTTTAGGTGACGTCAACTAAATAGTTATCTAAGTTAGATAAATTTATCTAACTATTCAACAGTGAGACTAAAATCACTCTACTCATTATTAGTGTGTTGTGGTATAACTAACACTGTCTATTTCTCAATATTGTCTCTTTCAGGTGTGAAGATCACTTAAGAGTCATATATTTTATAAATATTCTCATTATTTTTACTCAAGCTGGTGTCCTCAAATAGGTCTTCTACTTATTCTAATCTTGCAGCGTTAAATTAGTTCTAAGCTAACATGCTTGCTAAAAAGGCAATTATATTCTTCAAGACTTGATATGGTAGAAGAGTGAGACCAATCTACTCTTAATTTCCTGTGCATGTAGATAAAAACATAAAATAATCAATAATTTCAATCTCATTATTATTGTTTAAGCGTATCAACAACCTTGATAATTATAGAAAATTTAATAAACTGTTGTTAATTGTTGTTAACCATAATTAAAAACAATCATTTAACCGAGGTGGTTTCGGGGTCCACGCCCGTCATCAGGGTACAATGTAGTACCGCGATTCACTAAATAGTTTCTTATATTTTTGAGACGACAATATTTTGTGGTATTGTCATTTCAAAAACAAGGTTTCTGATCGACTAACACGCGACGAAAAGGAAAGCTTGAGCGCGCGCGTCATATTTTTACGCTTGTTGCTTGCAAAATAGCGCGCGCTCGTAATGAGAATTTCGCTTTTAATCAAAGGAAATCGCTCAGTTTTTTCCCTCTTTCATGTGTTAAATTCTTTAGAATAGCGATACAAAACTAATTACTAAGCGATTCCGCCTAATACCGAATATATTTTTTCCCAACTAGCCGTCAATATTTCTTGGTATTGTCGCCTCCAAATCGTAATTAGTTTATAAAATCGACTTCAACGGGTATAACTTCTACAAATAACCAGCGCGCGCAAAATAGAAACGAACAAAACACTAGCGCGTTGAGCCCAAAAGCTCGGTTATTATTAAATTTCTATAATGATCAAGGTTGTTGATACGTTTAAACAATGATACCAACCTACAAAGAAACATTTAATTTCAATCTCGTCTAAATACCATCTTAACCTCGCTCACTAACATGATTACGAGTAGCTTGGTGATTGGAGCGTCTGACCCGCAAAGAGGTCTCATTGAGCTCGAAGCTTTTTCCAAGAAAATTTTSTTTGAAAAGCCTTAATTGACATACATTTTAAATAACCTCAATTTTAATCTCTTTGGAGCAGGGAGCTTTCTGATTGCTAGTATTTCTTTTGAAATTTGTGAGGCTATGATTTAGGAGGAGTAAATCAGAGACACAAGAAAGGAGGTAGACATATGGGACGGGATGAGACTGGGTGGGATGGATCAGGATATCTATTTGATGGATGGTTCGATAGAAAGCCGGCTATAATTGGTTCTAACATTTTAAAATACATGTTAGTATANTTAATGAGTTTTCTAAAGAAATTTAATAACCTTTACATGGTAGAAGAGTTAGGAAAATCTACTCTTTATTTCCTGTGCATGTAGATAAAAAAATTAAATTTAAATTCAATCAAATTTCCAAATACATTACATTACAATGAAATTAATCTAATGATTTGCGGAAAGCGTAACTGTCCAATTATATTCTTAATTGGACAGGTCTTGTTGATATGGGATTAATTAGGCAACTATATAATTAATAGGTAATGGGATTTCATGCTTCCCAATCAAGAAATAATTAGACTCGAAAAATTCCTCTGACTGCCAAATTGACAATTTTGTCAGTCCTCGGAATTTTCCTCGTCCAATTATTTCTTAATTGGACAGCATGGAGTCCTATTACATAAACTAATAAACAAGTTAATAATAACTAATAATAGATACATATGCCAGTACAATATAACCTAAAGTTAAATTAACTAAGAAAATTTACATGAAATTTATTACGATAAAACGTCAATAAAAAATAAATAAAAAGAATCTATAATTTCAATCTCATTATTATTGTTTAAGCGTATCAACAACCTTAATAATTATAGAAATTTAATAACCTGTTGTTAACTGTTGTCAATCATAATTTAAAACAATAATTTAACCAAGGTTTCGGGGTCAACGCCCATCATCAGGGTACAATGTAAAATCGACTTTAACGGTTATAACGCCTACAAACTAATAGTTTCTAATAGAAAGCGAAGTGCTGCGAAATGCAATGTTGTAGCCTTTGGCGAGTAAAAAGTGCCGTTGCTTGAACTCGGAAAACAGAAATTCGAATAGATGGCTGGCTTTGTCAGAGACTGACTTAGTGAAGTAAAGATTTTTTGTAAAAAAAGGTATAACTGATGAGGTAGATAGCAAATGCTAAAAACTGTGAAGATGACCTGAAAACTTTCGTCTTTTATAGTTMAAATGTGTCAATATATATGACTTTGTTTGCTTTCGTAAAACAACAGTCTACCCARAACTGAGGATCTAGAAATCAATGGTATAACCCAAGGTACAAACTAAAAGAGCGGAATGTATCTGACAACTTAGAAGAAGATGAGAAGKCTGTTTTTATACTTCACATGCATTAATGTCAATGACTTTTTTTGGACCACGTGCTCGGTGTGCATGCAGTAGCTCATTTACAGGGATGAAAAATACCGCTGATCATATTGACTGCATGCTTTGCAAATGCTCACAAAATGACAGACACTAATCGATATTTTTTTGGCATTTGGCACAAGCYTCACGTATGCAAAGATTAGTGTTACAACTCGCCTTTCGGCTCGCAGGAATAATAACGAGCTCGCGCAAAATAGAAACGAACAAAACACTAGCGCATTGAGCCTAAGATCTCGATTATTTTAAGGTTTTGATACGTTTAAACAATAATTATGATACCAACCTACAAAGAAACATAATTTCAATCTCGTCTAAATACCATCTAAACCTCGCTCACCAGGATGAGTACGAGTAGCTTGGTGATTTGAGCGTCTGACCCGCAAACAGGAGGTCTCATTGAGCTCGGATTTTTTTTTCCAAGAAAATTTTTGCTTGAAAAACGATAATTCACATACATGTTAAATAACCTTCAAAGCACAAAAGCACTTCAATTTCAATCTCTTTGGAGCAGGGAGCCTTCTGATTGTTAGTATTTCTTTTGAAATTTGTGAGGCTGATGATTTAGAAGGAGCAAATGAGACACAAGCAAGGAGGTAGACATATGGGACGGGATGAGACTGGATGGGATGGATCAGGATATCTATTTGATGGATGGTTCGATAGAAAGCCGGCTATAATTGGTTCTAACATTTTAAAATACATGTTAGTATAWTTTAAATYMTACCTTGTCGGCATCCATACAACTCAATCCGTAAGKYTATAACCCTTTCAAACTTTTTAGGTAGAATCCTGATGTACCTTGCGATGATGGCAGGTTGCAGATCATTCTTGACAACAGTGTCACCGTCAGTGTTTCCCATCAAGACCTTGCCTCCTTCATAATTTTCAAAGTAGGAGCTGTTCAAGCCATATTGCAAGCTGTAGCTCTTCGCCCAATAAATATATCCGCTACCTCCTTGAGTTGCAATACTTGAAACTATGGTAACCGTGCTCAAATCCACTTGAAGCCACGGGCTGCTATCATTAACTGTGGATGTCCATTGTCTAGGTCCATGAAGTCGAACATAATGTGGTAGAAAATAGGGATGACTGTAACTAGAAGCCTTAATGCTTGAATCAGGAATGGCACCACTTTCCATTCCAAGGGCATTACCGCCAGTGCATGTTGCTGGAAAAATATTAACAGGTAACAAGCATGAAGGTCCCGTTACACGAAGTAATGTTCACTTCAAAAGGGAAAGTCTGATGGTAAGTCTGATGGTGAGTCTGATGGTGAGTCTGATGGTGAGTCTGATGGCGAGTCTGATGGCGAGTCTGATGGTGAGTCTGATAGTGAGTCTGATGGTCAGTCTGATGGTCAGTCTGATGGTCAGTCTGATGGTCAGTCTGATGGCGAGTCTGATGGCGAGTCTGATGGCGAGTCTGATGGCGAGTCTGATGGTGAGTCTGATGGTGAGTCTGAAGGCAACTCTGATGGTATGTTTGGCTAATGACAAGTCTGAATGTAGAGTGACATTCGGCACTTTTATAGCTTAGGAATTGTTTTTGCTAGTTTGATATTAGACAGATTAAGATTCCCGTTTTTTCTTCCCGCAAACGGTAAACGTGACCACGTTTCATCGTTTCCCAACATTTCACTTCACCTTTTGCAAACCTTCTCGACAAAGACAAGTATTCTTTTGTTTATCTACTACTTGGAGATTTTTGCGATTCCTTTTCACTAATTTTAAAGAATTTTTTAATGGTCAACTGACGTTTAACGTTTGCCGTAAACGAGAATCTTAAACTCTCTATTGTCAGGTACAAAAACTCATAAAATATATAGATTAATAAGAAAACCTAAAAGGGAGGCAATTGAAGCTTTATGTGCTACTTGGTTCTTGGCAATATTGTATTTGATATCTGAGTGACATATTAATTGCATCAAAACCAGCTGATTTGCCAGTTTTAAAGCTAGACCAAAAAAAATCAATATATCAACATCTGTGTGATAAGCATAGGTAATAATATARTTTCGCGTGCAATTTGGAAATAATTTGCCCGAGTTTGTTTTTGTAAGAGTCCGTAATTGCGTGAGGCCGTAGGCCTCTTTCGAAAACAAATTTTCTCATGTTAAGCCATTGCGCTCTTAATGACTGCGTGATTTTTCAAAACCGAATGCGTTTCATCCAATCAAAAAAATGAATAAAATATGCTATAGAAAAAATCCATGAAAAAGTTTTTGAACCACGATTTCTTAAACACAAATTTAATACTGATTTCAAATCTGGAAAGAAAAAGGTGAGGCGCCGATCGCGAGGTCATTTTCGAAATATTCATGTTAAAGATAAGCATATCAACAATTTTGGAAGGAAAAAAAGCGATAACAAACTTCCTACGAAAAAAAATCAAAACGGCACTAGTAATCAAACTTTTGCGCGTGCACAGTAGCTTCATTTTTCTATAGTAGGCTGTCACTTAAGCTTTCAGAAAATGTATACTTTACGGGAAATTTGATACAAATTAAACGCTTTCAAAGAAAAGGACCCGATTGCGTTCTTTTTTTCAAGTATTCTAGAACTCCTGCATTTTTCAATTGGTACACTTTAAGGGGAATTTGATAGAACTTAAACGCGCTATTAGCTTTCACAGAAGGGACCAGATCGTGTTCTGTGTATTCCTAATTTATTTTTCTTCCAAGTATTCTAGAATTCCAGCATTTTTCAATTCGTTTCTTTTACTTACGTTCTTCGCACAGTTTACCCGTGAATCCTTGCGGGCAGTGGCACTGGAAGTCGTTGTCCACCGTCGCACACGTGCCATTATTTTBGCATCTCGGGATGGCACATTTATCCTTTCAAAATTAAAGAATAATAAACGTAAAAATCAAAATGACCAGAAAACATTGAAAAAGAGTAAAACAAATATAATTGAAGCAAAGCAGTACTTACAACGAAACGAGTATAGTGATGATATTCTTGTGTAGGAACAAGAAAGCCTGTTGATTCACTGGTATCATTTTTCAGCAGCACGCATTCATACAAGCCATTTGTGGTGGGCAAGACAGCGAAGTTGAAAGACAAGCATTCTAGTACTCGCTCGCATCGCATACAACACTGAAGAACACTTCTGACGGAGATGGTTTGAAGCGAGTTACCTTCCAGCTTATGAAAGGCAACCTGGGTGAAATATGCTCCATCGAGTTCTWCGCTGCCAATCAGAGAAGAACGAATAAAGAAATACAACACGATACCGAACAGACATATCTGCCCCTATCGAGCCATTCTACTGTGGAACAGAAACTAAATTATTGATAACTTGAGCTCAAGACAAATTGGAAGTTCAAGACAAAGAGCAGCTCTTTCAGTTAGCAATACGAAGAAAATGTGATTTTTTTCATCAAAGTCAGTTATTGATATCTTAACACGGGATGTTGCTAACCAAATGGTAGGAATTAAACATCATTACTCTCAATAATACGCAAAATTATTGCAACTTAACTTTTAATGACTTTCTCAGCTCCTGTACCATAGGCTGACGGAAAACATTGTATGCACAATATGCGCATAACATATTTCCAAAGGGTCTAACAAGCAGAAATTGTGTAATAATCTTCAGGTATAATATGACTCTTTTAATAGACATGTTTCGGCAGTCCTTCTGCCATCATGAGTGGATAATGATCACAAAGCTAACTTAGTTATATATAGTTGGTAAAGTGATTACAATGTTGTACGATGCGAAAAAAAACAAACAACAACAATGGAATGAATTCGAATGGAAAGACCAAGGTTAATGGGATTGACTCGACTATTGAGGGAAGGGTTTTCCCATTTGATGTATATCGCCTCTTTGATCTTTAGCTGGAAGTCCATGGGTGCGATATCACGAATCTTAAAAGAATCTTTATACTACCAAGAGAATATGAAGTAAGAGAGCACATCCCTGTGCTCCATGAAAGATTTTTGAAAGTCTATTTTTAGCTCCGCGCGCAAGTCTGAGGTGTTTTAGAATGCGATTCCTGATTGGCTCTGCATCTATGGAGAAAAATGTATGGAGCACTCGTATGGAGTACGCTGGTGACGTCAATTTAGTGAAAATCCGGTGAAAATTGCAAGATAAAACTAAAAAGACTACAAACTGGTCTACCTTTCTGTAAATTTAAAGGTAAAATATAACTATTGATTTCCTTTCCATAAAAAGTTCATAGCGTATTTGTTTGAGCTCAAGTTTGGCTCGCTAGAAAACTCGCCCTTCCACCGGCCAGCTCACTCACAGCAAAATCAAGAAGTCTTGCAGTTGAGAAGTCAATTAGTTCAGTTTTTCTTGCTCACTCCGCCGTACAGGTCACCACAGTAGCCCCGTAAAACACCACGATGGTTACTGGAGTACAAGTAAAGCCACTGATGTATTCTATCGACTCAGTTTTCGAAAAATATACGGTTCAAAGTGTTCAGATAATTTGTGATGCAGCCAAATTGCAACAAAGATCGCTAATTTGACTTCTCCTCGGTCATTGAAAAACTTTCTTGTGAATTAAAACGATTAAGACTTCATTTATCAACTGCACGAATTTTCCCAATTTTGGATAGTTGGGAGAGCACTCTGGTAGCTAGAGTTGCACTCTCCCAACTATCCGCGTGCACCATAAATAGATTTACGCATGATAAGCATTGACCATTGCTTAACAAGCAGATAAAAATAATCTCTTTTTTATTAGTTTGAATCCTCAGATACTAAGTTTGATTCACTTTTTGTACTTCGCCGATATTGTGATTGTATTTCTATTGTCGCTTGGGGACTTTAGATATTAAAAAATTATGAAAAAATACCTGAACGTCGAGGCGGAGCGAAAATTCAAGGTGCAATGAAAATATGAAAGAAAGTTCTAGTTTTAAAAGTCAAACTCTTTGATTAATTCACCTTTTCTCAATATGGACAATGTCTTTTGCATAAAGTGACATACCGTATTTTGGCAAGCTAAACATATTAAATAATTGTGAAAAATCATTTTAGTGCCTTTTGTATTATAGTTCTTTCCTCTGTGATAACAGTCGTTTTTTTCAGTACATTTCGTTGCAAATAGTTTGTTCTGATTCGTGTGTGAAACAAAATACTCGTCTTGTTCATCATCTTCTTAATTTCTTGAACTTAAACTCTATTTACTATCGAAAACGCTACGATAAATGCTTTTTTCGCTGTCTTCACTGTTGGTTATTCACTATTTTCATCGCATTTTTTATCGCGGTTTCCTACCCTGGCGTCTTCGCTGTTTTTAGCTTGTTCGTATACTGAAAACTATCCTGATCTTTTTCGATGTTCTTTTACATCAATTATTAAGTTTAATATTTAATTCGTCTATGAAGAATACATGATAGATCAATTTTAACTTTTTACTGATTTTGAAGACATTTTTCTCGTCGGAAACTAAACATTTTTCTCTCACATTGAAATCACTACAACTCTGAACAATCAGGAATCGCATGCTAAAAATAACTCAGACTTGCGCGCGGAGCTAAAAATAGATTTTCAAAACATTTTCATGGTTACAGACCCATGTATGGGAGATGTGCTCTCTTAATTGATATTCTCTTGTTACTACAAATAGCGCGACACCGCGCCATTAACAAACGATCGCGATCAAAAGAATACAGAAAACTACAGCATGACAAGAAAAAAACTAACAGACGAGATCAACAATGAGATCAATGTTAAGCTAGTCTTCACCTCGCATTAATTAGGTAGTTTGTTTAGTCCGAAAGACCCTATCCCCAGTGGGTTCCGTGCTCGTGTAGTATACAAATTTTCATGTGCTGGAAGTAAAGCCAGCTATGTCGGGGTGACGACCCGACACTTAACTACACGCGTCCTTGAACATCTGTCTGGGGATAAGGCGTCCCATGTAAAGCCAGCTATATGTCGGTGAGACCACCCGACATTTAACTACATGCGTGCTTGAACATCTCTCTATGGATAAGGCGTCCCATGTAAAGCCAGCTATATTCGGTGAGACGACCCGACACAACTACACGTGTGCTTGAACATCTCTCTATGGATAAGGCGTGCCATGTTAATCAACATCTTACTGAACATGAAGGGTGTCTCGCTATTTGTAGTACTTTTTCCTCTAATTCTTTTTCTCTCGAACTCTGCCAACCCACGCGTCACCTTTATAAAAGTACTGCACACAGCACGCACGCTTTTTTTTTTATTTCTTCAATATATCTTCTTATGGATATCGACAAAAAATATTGTTTATACCAGTACATTATTACATTGTATTACAGTACATGTCCACTTTCTTACCTTGAGATCGTTGTAAAGTTTAAAAAAATTAAAAGTCAAAATTGTTTTAGATATGGTGTTTAGATGGCAGAACAATAGGGTTCAATTGCTCTCGGGAATTGAATTCTTTCTCGTGTAAAGCGATTGTATCGTTCCTGCCATCTAACATGGCTGTCGTCACGTGATGGTGCAAGATGTCTTTTGGATTTCAGTTGATGAAAAACTACTCTGTAGAAATGCCACTGTTTATGATGCCATTTATTTTTATTTCCTATACATTTAAAATTCCGCTTCAAATTAATGCGTACATTAGTTTTAATCAAACACAACCCAATCAATAGACCTTATTCGTGGTGTGACAATGTTTTCCCAATTCAGTGTGACAAACCTCTGGGGGAATGAAGAGCTATTGTTTTGAAACTCGTCGGGATATCATCGTTATTCCTTTCGTATCCTTTGGGATACTCAGGAATTTTTCGAAGAGTAAAAACAAAAGAAAATGAATCCCCTGGAGGTTTGTCACGCTGAATTGGGAAAACATTGTCACACCACGAATAAGGTCTATTGGCAGTAAAACTTTATTTGAACACTTCATTCATGAAAAGTTACAACCTTCGTAGATATTGCTTAAAAGTTCATAAATGATTAACTTGAATATATCAGATGATATCAAGAGTATGGCTACAATAGGCCCTTTGCAGTTAACGGTCACGTGTCTGTACTGGACTGCAAAATTTTTGTTTTTATATTAAATAGGTGATTCTTTTTAGCTACTTGTAAAGAACTGAATGAAACGATGTGTATCCAGTGTGTTACGAAATGCAGTTTTATTACGATCTCTCGAGAAAGGTTGTAGAAAGTTTGTTTGCTCACCAGTATATTTCACCCATGGGAATCAAGATGTTCATTCATTTGCTCTCAGTGAATTAATCAGCACGTGATTGCTTAGCTGCAAAGGGCCTATTGACACTGGCTCTACTAAGCTGGCATTTGAAGGCTGACAAATTTCTCAACAACAATACATCATCATCTTTTAATTAATTTAATGTTTAAACATTTTATAAGCTTCATTTTTGGTTTCATATTTCAAATTTCATATTTGGCGCGCTTTTACTATTTTAGGTGACGTCAACTAAATAGTTATCTAAGTTAATTAGATAAATTTATCTAACTATTCAACAGTGAGACTAAAAGCACTCTACTCATTAGTAGTGTGTTGTGGTATAACTAACAGTGTCTATTTCTCAATATTGTCTCTTTCAGGTGTGAAGATCACTTAAGAGTCATATATTTTATAAATATTCTCATTATTTTTACTGAACGTAAATCAGATATTTTATGTGGACAATTTTT